CCAGGGCAGCTCCGTGGTTCTCCGCGGTGCGGGCAGCAGCGGGCCCTCGGGACCTACCTCCAGGGCGGATGGCAGCAGTATGTCCACTGGCGCTGCTTGCACTTGCACTCTGCACCGGTCGAGCTCCTCCAGCTCCTCCCCGCAGCTCAGCTCCACCGTGTGCTCCTTCGCCTCTATGATTCTCTGGGCCACTGCAAGCAGGGAGAGGCCCCAGCACGGGGGATCGACCGCCTGCTCCGAGCACGCCGCCGGACAGGCCACGGGGCAGCTAACGCTTTGGGGAGGGGGCATAACCCCGCGCAATGCCGGTGGAGGGGGCAGAGCTCCGAGCCCTGGCCCAGGGAGCAGATGCAGGGCAGGCCCAAAGCCGATCGACCAGGCCACCCGGCTGCGGCAGCGCTCGTCTCGCTCTTACCCTCTGCCTTCTCGAAGGTGATGAGAGCTGAGCCCCCCGGCAGAGGGTAGCGGATCAGTGGGGTGAGCATCAGCTTGTTCACGTCCTCCTTGTTTGTCACAAGTCCCTTAAACTCCATTTTCTTCTCTGGCAGGGCAGACAGCATCTAGGTTCAAGCACACAGACAGCACCTGGAGGAGACCGGACCCTGCATGGGGCCTGTCCCTGCCAATCCACAGACGAGGAACAATCTCGTGGCTCAAAATAAACAGCTAGAGAGCCTCAGCAGAGTCTCCCCTAGGGCCTGGCTGTGCCTGGAGTCCCAAAGCCACGACTGGAGCTTCTGGCCCTGGCAGAGGAGCCACCCGCTCGCAAGAGCTGTGCCAGTCGTCACACGGTGCCCAGCTGCCTTCGCCTGCAGGCTCTCCAGCCAGGCTCACGCCCCTTGCCAGCAGACCCGAGTGCCCACACAACACTACTACCATCGCTGGATCCTCCCAGGGGACCCTCTTCTTCACTTCTTCCAGCTTCTCTTTCAGCATCTGCATCTCCAGCCTCAGTCTGTTGTTCTCCTCCTTTACTAAAAAGACGCTTGCCTGGAAGGAATGAAAGAGAGGGCAGTAAGGTAACCACCAGGACGCGAGGGGCTGTGGCACGCTCTCCATTTTAAGCACAGCGCTGTTCTTGGACATGGCTCCACCCACACCGTTTCTCTGCTCTTGCCTGCCTGCAGCCCTGCGCTAGCTCCTCGTGTTTTGATTACGGCCCTTCCTCCATAGCCGCGGCACCAGGTCACGTCTCGGCACAGGCCTCGTGACATCCCGCGAAACCTCCACCGGGTCCAGAGCAAAGTGATCTCAGAGCAGGGAGCCGAGTGATGCAGCCCCACCACCCGCTGCCACCTTTCCAAGCCCGACAACTCCTCCGATCACCAACCTGGCAGGACATCTGTTTATCTCTGTTTAACTCCATTTGTTGCCCGAGACTTTTATGAAGAAGGTCTCTCTCTTTCCTCAGCTCTTGTGTCTTTTGCTCTAGAGCTTCCTTGTCCATTTGTAGGTTCACATGGTCTTTCTCCAGAGCACTACAAAGTTCCTGTGAGAGGTACCATCAGACAGCGAGACCCTGCAGACACTGTGTCACCCCCACCGGTCCAGCCCCGGCACACGCTGCTCCTTCGGGAAGGAGGCAGGCTGCTCCCGGCGCGGAGCCCCAGAGCCCCGTACAGGCCCTCTTAACCGCGGGATACCCCCTCTCTACCGCTCCTGGCTCCTAGTCCAAGAAAAAAAATAAGAATCTCACGGTCCAAGAAAAAATAAGAACCTCAAGC